TAAACCACAAACAACAACCATTTTAGCAAAGTTTTCACGATCACGATCCTTGTTATAGGTTCGATGTGTAAGAGGACCACTTGGGTTCGAAGTATTTAACTCACTTTGAACCATATTTGATCCTCTAACCGATTCTTCAACATTACAATTTCCACCAACTTCAAGAGAAGACATATATGCAAACCACTCTTTACTATGCTTGTTAATCAAATGTTTTTTTAATCCCCCCGTTGAACCTCCCGTCTCACCAGATGTATATTTAAAATGTTGTTTACAAAGATTACATATACTAAAAGTTTTTTCTTCATTCAAATAACAAAATTTCCACACATGTGATTTTAAAGAACGTTGTACCTTGGTCTTACCTCTAGTTGGAATAATAAGGGGACGAGTAGTTCCAACCGGAGGTGGAGCTTCAATACCTATACTATTGACTGTATTGAGGTCGGCGGCGGGGCTAGTCGGTGTATCATCTAAATCTACTTCTTCATCTAAATTTAATTGTTCATCCGTTTCCACTTCTTCATTTTCTTGATTAATACCATAATATCTTTCATAGAGTTCATGGGGAGTCGGACTATCTGAATTAATATTTATAGGACCGGGACGGGAAAAACTAGTTTCATTCACATGCGTAAATTCATCTGTATTTATTCTAACAAGAGGAATTTTAGATTTAGACGAACTAGCACCTTTGTTAGTTTTTTAACTAATTTTTTTACTGATTCTACTAGACCTTTTTTACTTCCACTTTTTTTAGAAGACTCCATGATATAAAATTATAAATTATAAAATACGAAACTTAACAAGAACAACTTACAAGTTAAATAATAAATACAAAAAATAAATATAAGATTAGAGAGTGGAACGAAGTTACCAAACGTTTGTATAAGAACAAACGATTATAATGAAAATTAAAATATTGATGTCGAAACTTGAAATTTGAAGAAGATTCCTCCTCCGAAATACACTAAATGACCAAATGATATAAGTTATACTTATAAATATGAATGTAATTTGGAAATATATATTCTCTCAAATACTCAGATTATATTTGTAAGTTGTAAACTTGTAAATAAAATTTTTTTACACACAACTCTAATTTATACAACAAAAAAACTAGCCGTTTTAATTTTTCCGTTTGGAAAAGGGTAGGGGGCGGGGGCGGGGGGGGGGGGGCCTGCACTGCAGCTGCAGTGCTGCTTTATGCAGACTGCAGCCTGCAGTCTGCAGGGGCGGGCAGGGCAGGCAGGCGCGGGCAGGCGCGGGATTTTTGAAAAAAATTTAAATTTTAAAATATAATTTATAAAAAATATAAATATAAATTATATAAAATATAAAATATAAAAAAATTAATATATATTAAATAAACCGGACCGGAACCGGAACGGACCGGACCGGAACCGGGATGAACCGGTACCGGTACACCGGTACGAAACTACGGTTTCGTCCCGTTCCGTGTACCGGTTTAGAATATCCCGGCCCGTCCTGTAGGCAACCGAAACGGGACGAACCGGAACGGTACCGGTACGTCCCGTTCCGTTGCCCAATCTTAGTTATCATCAATTGAAAATACGGGCAGCAGATGTGCCGAAGACTGCTTTTCGGACCAAGTATGGACATTATGAATTCGTAGTAATGTCTTTTGGGCTTACGAATGCCCCTGCTGCCTTCATGAGCTTGATGAACGGAATTTTTAAGCCATATCTGGATCTCTTTGTCATTGTGTTCATTGATGACATACTGATATACTCAAAGAGCAGGAAAGGACATGAGGAGCATTTGAGAATTGTATTGGAAGTGTTGAGGGAGAAAAAGTTTTATGCCAAATTCTCCAAGTGTGAGTTTTGGCTAGATTCAGTGTCCTTCTCGGGGCACGTGGTTTCTAAGGATGGAGTGATGGTGGATCCTTCTAAGATTGAAGCGGTGAAGAGTTGGGTAAGACCCACTAATGTTACAGAGGTAAGGAGCTTTGTTGGTTTATCTAGCTACTACCACCGATTTGTCAAGGGATTTTCTTCGGTTGCTTCCCAACTGACAAATTTGACTAAGCAGAATGTTCCGTTTGTATGGTCGGACGAATGTGAAGAAAGCTTTCAGAAACTCAAGACCTTGTTGACTACTGCACCAATTCTTACCCTTCCAGTGGAAGGTAAGAATTTCATTGTTTATTGTGATGCATCCTATTCTGTTTTTGGTACAGTGTTAATGCAAGAGAAGAATGTAATTGCTTATGCTTCGAGGCAATTAAAGGTGCATGAACGTAACTATCCGACCCACGATTTGGAGTTGGCTGCAGTAGTGTTTGCATTAAAGCAATGGAGACATTATCTATATGGGGTTAAGTGTGAAGTTTATACGGATCATCGTAGTTTACAGTATGTCTTTACTTAGAAAGATTTGAATTTGAGATAGAGGAGGTGGATGGAACTACTGAAGGACTATGATATCACTATCTTGTATCACCCGGGAAAAGCTAATGTTGTGGCAGATGCTTTAAGTAGAAAGGCAGGGAGCATGGGGAGTCTAGCTTACTTGCAGGTTTTTAGACGCCCATTGGCTAGAGAGGTTCAGACTCTGGCTAATGACTTTATGAGGTTGGAAGTACTAGAGAAGGGAGGAATTTTGGCCGGTGGGGAGGCAAGATCTTCCTTTCTTGACAAGATTAAGGGAAAGCAGTTTACTGATGAGAAACTGATCCGAATTCGGGATATGGTATTGCGAGGAGAGGCTAAAGAAGCAAAAATTGATGAGGAAGGCGTTTTGAGAATTAAGGGAAGGGTATGTGTGCCCCGCGTCGATGATTTGATTCACACTATTCTTACAGAGGCTCATAGTTTAAGGTATTCTATACATCCTGGTGCAACCAAAATGTATCGTGACCTAAAGCAAAATTTTTGGTGGAGTAGGATGAAGCGTGACATTGTTGATTTTGTTGCTCAATGCCCGAATTGTCAGCAGGTAAAGTATGAACACCAGAGGCTTGGAGGGACACTTCAGAGAATGCCCATTCCTGAATGGAAGTGGGAGAGAATTGCAATGGACTTCGTGGTTGGTCTTCCAAAGACAATGGGTAAGTATGACTCCATTTGAGTAATTGTTGATAGGTTAACTAAGTCTGCTCACTTCATTCCGGTTAAGGTGACTTACAATGCAGAGAAGTTAGCCAGGCTCTATATCTCAGAAGTCGTTTGGTTGCATGGAGTTTCACTTTCCATCATATCAGATAGAGGTACACAATTTACTTCTAAGTTTTGGAGAACATTGCATGCCGAGTTAGGTACTAGGTTGGATCTTAGTACTGCATTTCACCCTCAGACCGATGGTCAGTCTGAGCGAACGATTCAGGTTTTGGAGGATATGCTTCGTGCATGTGTGATAGAATTTGGTGGTCATTGGGATAACTTCTTACCCTTAGCAGAGTTCTCATACAACAATAGCTATTACTCAAGTATTGATATGGCCCCATTTGAGGCACTGTATGGGAGGAGATGTAGGTCTCCCATTGGTTGGTTTGATGCATTTGAGGTGAGGCCATAGGGTACCGATCTTTTGAGGAAATCTTTAGATAAAGTAAAATTCATTCAGGAGAAGCTTCTGGCAGCTCAGAACAAGCAGAAAGAATATGCAGATCAAAAGGTTAGGGACTTGGATTTTATGGAGGGTGAGCAAGTCTTGCTGAAGGTTTCACCCATGAAAGGGGTTATGCGGTTTGGTAAGCGAGGTAAGCTTAGTCCAAGGTATATTGGTCCATTTGAAGTTCTGAAGTGCGTGGGAGAGGTGGCGTATGAATTAGCATTTCCTCCAGAATTGTCAGGAGTGCACCCGGTATTTCATGTGTCTATGCTGAAAAGATACCATGGAGATGGGAACTACATTATTCGTTGGGATTCAGTTCTTCTTGATGAGAATTTGTCTTATGAGGAAGAGCCTGTTGCCATTTTAGATAGAGAAGTCCGCAAGTTGAGATCAAGGGAGATTGCATCCGTCAAGGTTCAATGGAAGAATCGGCCGATTGAAGAGTCCACTTGGGAGAAGGAGGTTGATATGCAAGAAAGATATCCACACCTTTTACAGATTCAGGTACTCTTTCTCGCCCTTGTTTTTCTTCTTGTGATCGTTCGAGGACGAATGATGGGTAAATTGGTATCTATTGTAACGACCTGTTTAGTCGTTTTGACCAGGTAGAATTACTTTTGTTAATAACTGACAGTGTCACGAACCGACACGTAGTATTAGGGGATCGGGTGTCACGAACCGACACGTAGAATTAGGGGATCGGTGTGTCACGTTCCGACACAAGAGGAATAAAGAGAATGAATCTTGAATTATGGTAATATACTCAAACTTAAGGAACCTTTTTCCCAAATGAGTATGGTGTGGAGGCTTGAGTCTTCATGGGTGCGCTTGGTGTTGTTATCAATGATTCTTGTACTTGTTGTCATCACCTGTTAAGTATTATGGTTGATTTTATGCTATTATTTGATATATATTGTTCTCTATTTTGAGTTGGCCGATGATACCTACTCAGTACTTGTGCCTTGTACTGACCCCTACTTGTATGTTTCTCTTTGTTATTTGTGGAGTACAGCAAACGTACCATCGACTTCGACTCGTCCGCAACTCTAGTCAGTCTTCAGCATATCAGATTTCAGGGTGAGCTATTATTCCTAGCTCGGACTGGATTATTTCCTTCACGTCTTGATGTCTTGAAGTTCAGACATGGACCATCTCTTTACTTATTTTAGTTTCTTAAATACTGTTAGACTTAGAAATTTGAGGATAGATGTTCTTGATGTGATGACTTCCAGATTTTGGGAATGATAAGTATGGAGTTTTAGAAGTTATTTAATCGATTTTCGTTAATGAGTTTTAAGTCTTCCGCATTATATTCTGTTTATATTGTATTGAAATGTTGGGGTTTAGATTGGTTGGTTCGCTCACATAGTAGGATAAGTGTGGGTGCCACTCGCAGCTCGTTTTGGATCGTGACAACGAATCTCTGTCGAGCAAGTGAAGTTTGTAGTGTGATAGGAACCATAAATTCTTCTTTGTTAACTTCATCAAACGGCTCAAACACAACACCAGTAAGTGAAACATCACATGTTGCACAAAGTAATTTGAATTGTTCTTTAGGAAAAAACAACAGTTGGAACAGAAGAAAACGATAACGATGAATTGTTTCAATGAAGTAATAAAAGTAGTAATAGCTGAAACTGCCATAATTTCAGAATTTAGAAAAATTAATTAATAAGAAAGATGATAATTTTCAACTATTCAAGATTGAGATTAGCATTGAGAAGATATATATAGAAAGTTGGTTGATGAGAGTATTCAAGTAGAGTACGATTTAATTGAACCGATGAGGGAGCGAGGCGTGTGGCGGGCTCGTGGCCGTAATAAAAAAAAGTTGAATAGTTAAGGGTATCAAAATTGGAAAATTCCGAAATACGTCGTTATCATCTTAGGTGTTATTGAGTATTGTCCTTGATTAGAATACCATTTTTATTCGTCATATTATATTTTTTTGAAACTTCATTAAATTAATTTTGAAAGTTAAATTAAATTATGTTAATTTAATATTTTAAATAAAAAATTTAGATATACAAAAAATATTATAGATTGTAATTTTTGCATATCAATATGATGAAAAAATATATTTAAAAATGATATTCAAAGTTTTTATCCTTTGAGTCTAAAATAGGAAATTATGACAAATAAAAGTGGAAGGAAGGAATATTAGACTTTTGTTTTCCCGTTTTCTTAGGGTCGTGACGTTTGATCACAAATATTTTTTTTTGGATTTTTTTCTTGAAAATTAATGGTTTGTCGTTTAACTTATTACTCCCTCCGACCCATTTTATGTGACACTATTTCCTTTTTGATCAGTTCAAAAAAGAATGTCACATTCTTATATGGTAAGTATTTAAAGGTACATTTTTTTTTATCTTTGTTGGTCCAACTTAATTAAATTATACTAATCTAATACATTTATGAGAAGAGAGAAAGGTGAATTTACTTTTTTGAAGGGTAATTTGATAAATATTTTAAAGTCTTCTTTATTTCTTAAACTCCGTACCTGATCAAATGTTGCCACATAAAATGGGACAAATGGAGATTACTTATCAAATATATATTTGACAAATATTTCAAATATACATATTTTGTACTCTCTTCGTCCACAATTATTTGACAGATATACTAAAAATAGTTATCCAAAATTAATTTTTAATTTAAACAATCAAGAAATAATTAATCACTTTTTTCAATTTTGACCTTAATAATTGCATAACTAGTGGTTGCAAAAATATTGACCATTTTAAAGTTATAAGACTACTTTAATGTGAAAAAATTTGTTTTTACGGTTTTCAAAAAGTATAAAATATTTTAAAATAATGATTGATAGTAGAGTTCAATTAGTCACATTATACCAAAAAACATTAAGGAATGTGAATAATCTTATCCTGATAAACAAGAGTGGACCGGAGTATGATTTTTATTTAAGTTTGTTCTCAGAAGTCACTTTTAATTACAAGTAGTAATTGTAGTTTTTTGGATACAACTTAGTGGTATTTTTCCTCTTGTTTATTAATAATAGTTGTCATGACATTTTATCGAATAAATTCATTATAAAATGATAATACATAACTTATGAATCTTTTTTTTTTTAATTTTTGACACATAGTAATGTATTGTCATGCTAATCAAGAAAGTCTAAAACATATTTGTAAAAAGAAGATCTCTCACAAAAATTCATAAAACTAAAAAAAATTATACATAACCTATAAAATCAATTCTCCCCAAAATTTTAACAAGAAAGTATCATATCATACGAAAAACTCAATGTTGAGAGTTAGTTGATCTCACTAGAATTTGTCTATCCCAATTCCATCTCTAATGGCTTCATATGCATTTCTTGGACGTGTTCTTCTCAATCCAGCAGTGAAATGAATTTCTGTTTGTTCAAACAAAATAACACTAACCGTTATAAAAAGGAACATTACTTTTGTTTTCATTCCTTCTATTTCATCTAACTTTCCCTTCTCTATATGTACACTAACTGTATTATTGAATCGTACAATCGATGCATCTCTATATGTAATTTCACATATCTCCGGTAGATGGACAGTAAGTTTCTTTGTCTCTTCATTAAACTCGTAGTTTGTTGCTTCGCGAGGGAAAATGCCCGTTGGAATTTCATACTCCTTTAGTAGCTCTGGTAATGGCCTTTGTGTTTTTCCTACAAAATATATAGTAGGGATCATCATCCTTACATAGAACTCTCTAACTGCTTTAACTATCAGATGAGATAGTAACATACTTTAACATTGTATCAGGGCATTAAAAGAATACCAAGGTGATAAGGAGATAATTTTGTTGATAAAATAAGTTAAACTTTTTGATGAAATGATCACGCAGTTTATTTCAATATTATGAAATAAAAATTTAGGCCAAAATAAACACCGGTGTAACTTTTAAGAACCAAAATTTGGAAAGAAAAAAAAAAGAGCAAAAAGGAGTAGGGGATAATGGAGCTTTTGGGAGAAATCATTGAAAACACCCCCTAGTTGGAGTGAATTATTTGTTTCATTTATGAACTATTGATAATCTTAAAGCACGACTTACACAACCTCGATTTTTCACATGACATAACAAGTCTTGACCCCTAAACTTGGTGAGAACTTAAGGATGTATTCAAGTTCAATTAGTCAAATATAAGGGCATTTCTATAGCTGTTAATATATAGTTTGAAAATGAAACTAATAATTCACGTTAAATTTAAAGGTGTTCTCAATACTTCTCTCTCGATCGAGTTATGCAAGCAGAAGACTAACCTTTCATTTTGTTCACGAGCTTTTTGGTTCCTCCGGTAATACTGTTTTGCAAGTTCTAATTTTGAAGGAGAAAAAGGTCAGAATGAAGAAAAATTATAAAAAGTTCCATGTAGCCCCAAGTAAGATTATTGTTTAAGATGACTAGCCATTTTGTTCCTCCAACAATTTTATGTGCAGTACCACTATATTTGAAAAACAAATTATTGTCAATGCCAACAGAGACATTTATATTAGAATCTAGGTTATCAAATTGATGAATTTCGAATATCAAATAATTATAATTATAAATAATAAAACTCAACAAAGTACCATATTTCCCATTTCTCACATCCCCATCTAATTTCTCATCAATTCTGTCATCCTCACGTGGAAGTAAATAACTTTTTTTCCTCCAAATAAGATTATAAAAAAGAAACTAGATCACAAAAAACTCTAGAACAAACATATATGCTATAAAAGAAAAAGAAAACAAAATTTTCATATGAATTCTATATATTTATAAACCCTCTCAAAAAGACAATAAAATTCAATCTTCATTACCAAATCATAAATTAAACATACGTAATTAATTATAGAATTCCAATGTCAAATCCTTCAAAATTTGAATAATCAAATAAATAAAACGTAAAAAAGAAAATTACATACGTTAAGATCATTGGTGACGGAATTGAATTCCTTGCCAGCTTTCTGACCAATCAAATACGAACCTGCCTTGTTCATCACCATATCCATCGCTAATTATTCTATTTATTATTATGTTGTCTAATCTCTTTATTTTTATTTTTTTTCGAATTGGATCTACACTTCGATACTTTTAATGTTTTTTTTTTAGAAATTCGAAATCATTTAATGATTTCGGTATTAAAAATTAGAGAATTCTTATTATTCTCTTCTCTTAGCACAATTTAGAAAGAAAGAAGGGGGAGGGAGGGTGTCTGGGCAAGAAATTTCGGTAGCTAATTATGAAATAACCAATCCTTTTCTAGTGGATTAAATTAAATATGAAGATCTAAATTCATATTAACCTTTTTTATAGTTTAAATACTTTTTTCTCAATTATTTTGAATAAATAATAATAATAATAATAAAAAAGTTGGCACATATCATGAATTAACAAAATGAGTATGAGGCTATAGCAAGAATGGGAAATTAGAGGCTCGGAAGAGACCATAATCATATTATCAACTTCCTGAATACTCTCTCCATTTCATAAAGAATGATTTGATTTGACTTGATACGGAGTTTAATTGTATAAAAAAGACTTTTAAATCTTGTGGTCCTAAATTAAAATTGACTTAAATGTATAAAATTGCCCTTTAATTTTGTTATCTTAAACATACCACGTAATAAGCTAAAATAAAAAATGTTACTAAAAAAAAGAAAGAAATCATCATTTTTAACCGACTGGAAAAAAAACAGTTCATTTTTTTTTAAAGAAGGGAGTATATCAATAAATCAATTTGTGATTTGCAAGATAACAAAGGGGACGACACCTACCATGAAATTTGTCTTTTACTATATTAATCAAATCTATGTTCATAATTAGCTATTTTGTTTTTGTTTTTAGTTAGTTATTAGTCATATAAACACAACTTTGAGATTTTATACCTTGAATAAATAATTAGAATTAATTCAATAAATGGTTAATCATAATACACATACATGGAATGCAACTCATCCTTACTACTCATGAAACATAAATGATTCAACCAACTCCCTAATGACTTACTTAAAAACACATTCGAATTGAATGGAAGTCATTTTTAATCAATCTTAATTGATATCTTTTCATGCCACACAATATCAAAAATATCATTAGCGATTATCAAACATAATATTAACGATAATTAATTGACAGTAATAATTTAATTGTCACTAATTATATTTTTTAGTAAAAATTAACACTTAATGTATATATTTTTAAAGCCTTTAATAATATTAATATTAATGACATTTAACTAATGTTACTGAACATTTTAAAATTCTTTATTAATATATATATATTTGTTGTTGCTAAAAATTGTTTTTATGACAGCGCCACTACTTCCCTCTAAGTTGCAACTAGTACTCTTCATGTCAGTTTATTTGACCCTAACTTAAGTTGAACATTTGACAAAAAAACACTGATATATATTCTCATTAAAGTTATCATTTCATGGCCATTTATTTTTATTCATATCATATATTACTAAAAGTATGAAAAAAAAAGTTGAAAGTTAAATTATGATTTTATCCTTATTATAAATTAAAAAAATATTAGGAAAAAAACATCGTTTTACCCCTACATTTAATTAAAATGTTATAAATTATTAATAAATTAAATATTAAATAATAACTATATCATATTATTTCAACAGTTTTTTGACTTTTGATTTTCTTCATATCTAAATTACTCTCCCATTATCTATAGTTGTTCACTTCTGTTATTAAAGAGGGTGAATGAAGAGTTGTACGATATTGATTATGACTTTATGAGAGAAATGCATGACTATTAAATAAATTTTTCATTTCACTCTAAACACATTGGTGGATCAATAATCACTTTCATTATATCTTTTTATTTTTTTTATCGGAGAAAAATGTATGTGTACATTCTAAAACTCCATATGGAGCTTGAAATGTGATGGAAATGGATGTTGAATATCTTTATGGAGGTTAAAATTCATCTTTTCACAAAGTTGACCTTCTAACAAACATAGTAAGTAACTAATACATGTTCATGTTTTGATAAATTCTCTTTTGATATTTAATTTTAGGCAACTATTGAAGGAATTCAATGCGTTTTCACTTATTTACATACTTTGGGTAAGTGAGATGAAATCTCTCTTCTTCCTTTCTTTGTCATTTCACTTAATTATGTTATGTAAATTGATCATCGAAAAGGTGCTACATTTATCTTTTGTCATTAAATTTATTCCATTTACTTTATAAGAGCTCAGTTTTTCCTGTTTCATATCATACCTAGCTAGCTACAATCTTTGAAAGAAAACCATTTTAGATAATAATGATGGTCATATCTAAATATTATGTGGCTTACCTATTTTTTATTGCATTCACTTAAGTACCAGCTCAAAGTGTATAAAAAAAAATAGCATCCAAGTTAGTGATGTTTACGTGCACTTTTAGATTTGGAGCAAGAGTTCCTTGATATGCCACGTATCACCAAATGCTATATTATCTTAATTAATTTTACATAATTTCACATATCTTATTTTTCAAACAAATAACTAAAAGTTAAATGAAAAGAATTAGTTGTCATCCTTG